CAGAATCCCAGTGACAGCTGAGCTTAGGTGTAAATGTCACTGGATTTGACATTTTAATCAGAGCTTTTTCACAACATATATGACTCAGTTTGGACAATCAAACTTGGTGAGCTCAGTACCGTAGAGAACAATAGAACATGTTCAGAGCCCAACCACTGGGTATCAACAAGTGAAAGCTGTGAAGAAAGGCTTTGCGTCAGCGTCATTCATGAGGCTGCTATGGACCTGCCTGTGTGCATTCTGCATTTTGCATTTGCACATAAGAGTGTGTGCCAAAGGGGGAGCAGGGAACAATGGAGAAAATAAACTACTTCTTCACAATTGCAGCAGTATACACTCAGATACTTTTCACCATGTGTCCACAATCTAATGCACACCTCAATAAAATGTTTAAAAGTGAAAAGCCCAGAGACCACATTATATATTCTATAGTAGAATGCATAATTTAACTTTTTATTTTAAATAGGCTTATCTGGGAAATAACTGCAGTATCACTTGCTCACTGAATGTTTACACAATCATTGCCTGACTGTGTAAACATACAACTATAGTTTTAGCCTAATTGCTCTTCCATTTCCACGCATTAGTTCGTTGAAAAAAAAAGTGGGGAAAAAAAAGTCAAATATGAGCCCAATTTCATACCAGGATATTGCTCCAGTATCATTGATAAATATATAGACCGAGATCTTTATTGAAACTCAATTAACTGCCTAACTTAAGTTACGATTGCTATTATTACAGATTAACCTAATAATGAAAACCACTATGCCCCAATATAACTGACACTGAATCTAACAAAAGAAGAGAACTTTATTAAAAGCAATGTATTTTTGTTTTTACCTCATTATTCTGAGGTTAACTTGATCATAAAAGGATAAGGCTCCTGCAACACAGTGGGAACATGTAACTGAAGGGCAAATAGCTGACCACAAACTCAAGCTCAACTGGTTTCCCAGGAGACAGGGCCCAGAGTTCCCATGATTTTGTGCTCTAAAGTCCTCATCCACAATATCTTATTGTCTTTTATTGGGCTTTTTAAATCATGTTGCTCCCTCAAAACATTGAGTAGTATTTTTGCTTCATTCATGTTTGATGCATTACTCCTGTTTGTATTTACAAAGTTTTCTTTGAATGCTCAGAAGAAATGCCTCTGTTGGTGGCTTCCCCACATTGTTCACAAAAGTTCTGCATAAACCATCCCGGGACTTGTTCTGAGCATTACTCTACTCAAACTGTGATCACTGTGAACGCATGGATATACCTACACCATTTTTCGATATGTTTTTAAAATCCATTTACATCAGGATCATTCTAATCATTAATGATCAACTCTCCTTTTCTTCCCAATGCCAGTTCCAGTGCTAGCAGCTATGGTTGAAGGGGCTTTCCAAACTCTCACATTTGCAAGCAGATGGTGTACTTTCTACTTCAGTGCAGAGACGTGCAAACATATTGAAATGCTGTGGTACTAAATTTGATGATATCGTATCATTATTGTGGGCTGCTGTATCGGCAGCAAGAGTAATTTTTGCCAAGAGTAATTTCTGATATCTTTTACCGATTTATTTGGTGAGAGTACTATAATTATTTTGCTTGTTTGAAAAAGGAAATCTGTTAATGAAATATATTTGACATATTCATTGGTACTTATATGCACAGAAAAGGACTAATATTGTTGTTATTGGTTCTTAAAAAATAGTGTTATATCATGCGCGATATATCAAGTGTTGCATTGCCATATTGTGATATTATTGTATCTTGAGCCATCTATCGCGTATTGCAGCAAATTCTAAGGAACCCAGTGATTGCCAGCCGAGCAGAAGTGCTTTCTTAATACACTCATGCTTCTTGTCCACAGCTTAATCCAAAAGTATATTTAAAGGTTTAACTATTAATTATATTGATTCAATACAAGACTTCCACACACGTGTGCTAAATGAGCTAACAAAGAACAACACATCAAACAATAATGTATTTTAAATAAACTTGACAAACAAGTTTCTTTTGGAGTACCCAAAACTAAATGTTACAAACTTACAGCTTTACAGATAAACAGTTTGGAAATAGAGCAGATTTGCTTGAGAAATTGCAGAAATTCCTAATCCTAATAATACCATAGACTGTTTAACCCCACCCCCCAGCACAAGTCCTTGTGTGATGCTTGTGTGTATGATTGAAAGAATGCAGAAGGGAAACACTAGAAAGCTCTTTTGTTGAAAGGAAGTATCAGTCGGGACCATGTAGGCTGGAGGTGCTCCACTCCACCCAACGGGAGCACAAACACACTCCGTCTTGTGACTGTGGATTTCCTCACACATGCATCCTGAGCAGGTCATGTGTTGACAAAAACTGACAGAGCACTGACAAACCGTGCTGAGCTAATAACTGCAGCGAAACAGCTGATGAGCACAAGACATTGAAATGGAAGTCATTTGCAGAGCACAGCGTGAGTTGTTTCAGAGTAACACAGCTGTAGATGGTCTGAATACTTTTAGAAATGTTTCAAAAAGCTACTGCATGTTTGAAATGTACTAGTAAAGGAATATCTTATGTACCACAAATTACAGTACAAGTTAAAACAACTTAAAGCCTTACATTAAGTTTCAAATTATTGTCATATTATTTGCAGAACTATCATTCCAAATATGAATCAGTGTGTGAATTTGTCAAACTATTCTTCTAAAGACCAGACAATAAGACTGTCAATAAATACCACTGTCTCACCATAGAAAAGGTACTTGCTGAACATGATAAACCTACAAGCCCAAACATTAACAGTAAACACACTGAACCAAATTCCAAAAGAGAAACTTCCTCGCTAGATTGTGAATGCCTATGCCAGGGGTCAGAAGTGGAGCGACTTTATTTATTAAAGCAACAAAATATGTCATATTTGATTTTAAGAATGAATATAATCAACTCCTGGTGTTAATGGCCGCAATGATATGTAACATTGTTGGACGTAAACAAACTAAATTATAACTGCAAACTAGTAGATAGTATGCTATACTGGTAAATAGTTTTCACTAGAACTAGGCATAATTTCTTTGAAAAGGAGGAGAGATTAGATTACAACACCTCTAGCTCTATCTATAGTAGGAACCTGATGCTGTTCTATATGTTATCAGACAGCACTCCTATTCTGGGGCCATCGCTTGGAAATGCAACAGACATCTTGTAACACAACACATATAGTGCTTGCATCTTACCATTACACTAGGTTTGGTTGTAAAAACAAAAGGAACAACACAAATGAAGTTAAATATTGTGATCACTATTTAGGAGAAAGGTGCGGGAGAATTCCCGCAAGCGCAGTTGGATGGTTTCATCGAAACTCCTAAGCGAAATAGGAACGGTATGTCGCAGTTACTGTAAATAAAACCCTTAACGCTCTGAATGTTTTCACGGCGTGGAAGCAGTTTTCCCGATGTGATACTAAGGGCAATAAGGAATGTTAAGGCATTAACGTTACATGTTTAAATTCAAAATATCTATATCCATAGATTGTGAATGTTGGTGGGTCACTATGGTTTATAATCGGGCAAGTTGACAAATTTATTTATGTCTCACTTCGGCTTCACGTGCAATTCCGTAAACGATGTGGACTTTTTTGGTGAACAAATTATTAGCCTCCAGTAGGCTATCGGGCAGTCTCGGGTCGGCGCGTCTAACACCTAAAGCCCATTAACCCATTTTCAAAGCCAATTGCTTAACTTAGTCCCACTTGAGGTATTGCATAGCGTACACCCAAACAAGCACGGCTATTTGAATAGGGAAAAACATGAACGCTCGCCCTTTACTTTAGGAGGCGGACAGTCGTTTCCAGCTGCTAAATATATCAGATCAAAAATCATGAGATGGAAGCGTGTGTAGACCGAGTAATACTGGCGATCACAGCCAGTGTGACACAACAGTTACATACATGTGAAAACGTACAACTGAGTGATCAGTGGGTGTGATGAGGGATGCATCTGTCTGTTTTCGCTGATGAACAAGCTACAGGCTGCAGAGCTACGTATGCTAACGCTAGCTGCTCAGCTAGCTCTCTGCGACACGGCTATAAACGTAGCGAGAGCCTCAGCAAACATAAGCGGCCCAATGGCAACTAACGACGGAACCCGCTCGGTGATCACCACAGTCACCGCAAGCAAAGACAGTAAATGCAACAAACCTAAAAATGCTCACGTTTAAGTTAGTAGGAACATCGCTTACCAGCTCTAGGCATCCACCCTCTCTTGACAGCGTATCCCCGTATCTGACCACAGTTAAGATGGCGTCATTGAAAGATCAACACATCCGGTGACTCCTTCGCAGTAAACCTACGGCAGGAGAGGAAGTAAACATGAAATTAATTCATCTCTGTCGTACAGAAAACATAGTTTGCCTCATGTATTCATACATCTTTATTTCGCCCTTTCATGTTTTGCTAAACTATCAAACTATCAACCATCAATAACTATCAAATTTAGTTAGTTAACTCGTTACTGGAACATGATGTTGCTCTTAGATAACGCTGCGAAATATTAAGGCTTCAGATCTGGACTCATCAGCTTTGTATGCCCTCTAGTGTCAAATACAAACTATTACACATTGTAGGTAAACGGTGATTCTTTGTAACAATCACTAGAGGTCGTAATAAGCCATCATTTCACTGCACCAAAAACTGTTTAGATCAAGATTTAGGCCTAACTAAACACTGTAAATTGGGCATTTAATTTATTTTTACGTAATTAATAATTGTTTGCTTGCCAATTAAATTTACTACGAAGTTTTTGGTAAATTTTAAGATGGGTATTGTACTGAACTTAGCAGATTTTCCCTTACATATTAATGTATATTTATTACAATTACATGTATTACGTTAGGTTTTGCATTGCCTGTGGTTATAGTAGGTTGCTTTGATTCGTTGCACAGCACTTGGGTTGCGTGTCTCTTGTAGGAGGGGCACTGAAGGATCTAGTCCGAATGCCCTTTATAAACATTTCCCTTTCCAACTCTGCACTACTCAGTCTGGATTTTGGAGCACAGCAAGCAAGACTGCACTGTCTGTCATTATGGGGCTAACGCACGACCCAAACTTCCACAAATTGCAAGACTGGTACACTGCTCATGCACTCAACCTCAACATGAGGCACTTGTTTGAGAGTGACAAAGAGAGATTCAACAAGTTCAGGTATTTACTGTTTACTATTGTTGTAAGATAAATGGACATACTGACGCTAACAACATATCCTCAGTAGTCTACAAAACAATAATATAGTATTATTGTCTGTCTATGTTTGAGCAGCTTAACACTAAACACAGAAGATGGGGACATTCTTCTTGATTACTCTAAGAATCTCATCACAGATGAAGTTATGAAAATGTTGACTGATCTGGTTTGTTCTTTTTTTTTTTTTTTTTTTTAGATAACACAACAATGTTTTGTTGGCTTAATTGTTACGTTTCTTTTAAAATGCGCCTTGATTAGGGTCAATCACGAGGAATTGAAGCTGCCCGAGAGAAGATGTTTACTGGTGAGAGGATCAACTTCACAGAGGTAGCCAATTGGTTTTGGTGTAAAAGTTCAGTAAAATCTGCTGTTTACTTTGATGTGTTAAAATTATCTTCTGGGGTTACAGGGACGTGCTGTGCTCCATGTGGCTTTGAGGAACCGCAGCAACAAACCCATCATGGTCGATGGTAAAGATGTGATGCCAGAAGTGAATAAAGTTTTGGAGAAGATGAAGGGCTTCTGCCATGTAAAATAAATGCGGATTCTGTGCATTGCCCGATTGTAAAAGAAATAGTGTATTATAGAATTGTTGTGGTGGTCATGGGTTTCTCTTACAGAGAGTTCGTAGTGGACAGTGGAAAGGCTACACTGGAAAGACCATCACAGATGTTGTCAACATTGGGATTGGAGGATCTGACCTTGTAAGTGCATTTATACTTATTGCTTAGTGCTTTTCAGATGCCATGATATAAAGCGTAATAGCCTTCTATGTTGTAGGGTCCGCTCATGGTGACTGAGGCGCTCAAGCCTTATGCAAAAGATGGTCCACGAGTGTGGTTTGTGTCCAACATTGACGGGACACATATTGCCAAAACATTGGCTCAGCTCAATGCTGAGACTACCCTTTTCATCATTGCATCTAAGGTATTCCTGAAGTTCATTTTGCTGCATGACTTTAATTTCATTGTTTTGACAGATTTGGCACTTTTGTAACAAAATATAAAAAGGCTAAGTCAACATTATTGACAAAATATGTCCAATTACTTACCAGTTTGCAATTTCAGTTGAATTTGTAAATTTTAAATAATAATTGTATTTTTATTCAGACATTCACCACACAGGAAACCATTACTAATGCTGAGTCTGCAAAAGCATGGTTCCTTGAACATGCTAAAGATGTGAGTATTCTAAAAGAATGCAACTACATTAAAGAAATCGTATGTCTAAAATATTTTCCTGTTATTCCACAGAAAGTTGCTGTTGCCAAGCACTTTGTGGCTCTGTCTACAAATGCTGTAAGCTATTGTAGTCATTGAGCGCCTTTGGGCATTTATGTAATAACAACTCATCTTTTTATTTTGTGTGTCCTTAGCCCAAAGTGAAGGATTTCGGCATCGACACAGAAAACATGTTTGAGTTCTGGGACGTGAGTGCTCCATAATATAGCAGACTTACATATCCTCTCTATTATGAATCCACATTCATGCTAAAAATAGTCCTGACTTATGACCTCTGAAGTCTGTTGAACTTAGTCATTGGCCAGCAGCTGCTTGCAGCACAGTTATTATTGGGAGTGACCTTCTCTCTTGCACAGGTTACTGTAAAGGCTGGGTTGCATCAAAGGTCATCAAAGTACTTGTAGTTATAAAGATAATACATAGATATACAAAGTATACAAGAATATTGATTTATATTATAAGAATTATGTAAATGTATTTACAAGGTTGCATTTATATTCACACACTTTGTGGATTTTCCATTTTAGAGTTCTAGGCTCCTACCCTTCATTTAATAAATCATCTAATTGTAGCCTATGAACCCAATCTGTTGGCCAGTTTTAGATGCAGACTTTGAGACTGCATTCTTATTCTTTGACAAAGAATGACTATTCTTCTGCTGCTGCTCTGCTGCTGTTGCTTTTTAGTGGGTTGGTGGCCGTTTTTCTTTATGGTCAGCAATTGGTATGTCCATTGCACTCCACATTGGTAAGTGACAATGTACACAATATACTTATACTACTAATACACATATATAATAACATAGGTTTTATTAAAAGATTTTTAGAGTATTTATAAATAACTAAACTGACATTATTATCTGTGATTAACAGGTTTTGAAAACTTTGAGAAGCTTCTGTCAGGAGCTCACTGGATGGTGAGGATGGAAAACAAATGCATGAGTTTAACCAGTGTAGGCCTAAATCCTATTTTCTGTATGTTACACTGTTTATTTTTTGTTTCACCTTCAGGATAATCACTTCCGGACTGCTCCTCTCAATAAGAATGCCCCGGTCCTTCTGGCTTTGCTGGGAATCTGGTACATCAACTTTTTCCATGCTGAGACTCATGCTATGCTGCCCTATGACCAATATATGCACCGTTTCACAGCATATTTCCAACAGGTTTGTACCATGCTGAATTTTAATAAAAGGAAATGTGTTTTGAAAATGTGACATGTAAATTGCATTTATTAGGGAGACATGGAGTCCAATGGGAAGTACATCACTAACCATGGGTCTCGTGTCAACTACCACACTGGACCCATAGTATGGGGAGAGCCTGGAACCAATGGACAGCATGCCTTTTATCAGCTTATCCATCAGGGTAAACATAAAACCCTTTGTCCACTTCATTTTTTTTCATTGCTACCTGCTGGGTTAGCTAGCAGGTAGCAATGAAAAAAAAAATCTGCACATTTTACATTCATTAAAGCCAAGGTTAATTTAGAAAGGCTTTTACAGAGGGATCTGTGCCACATTGTTGAAAACAGTTGAGAAACAAAAATATTTAAAATACAGTTCAGTAAAGTGGAGTATAAAAACATTTATATGTACAATATATAGTGTCTGATTGACCATTAAACGGTTTAAATAGATGAGTAACTTACAGCGTGTTTTGTACTTACTGTCAAGACAAAGCTTGCATTGTGTAGTTTTAGCCAACTTATCATTTTATTTGTAAGACATGTTTTGAGGGAAGGGCAAAGAGAGGGAGGTAGAAACGGAGTGATGGAGAGAAAGGAAGAGTCTTGTTTACGCTTCTCACTATCAACTTGTTCACTTTAGGAACACGTATGGTGCCGTCTGACTTTCTGATCCCAGCTCAGTCTCAACACCCAATCAGAAACAGCCTGCACCATAAGGTAGGAATGTTGACAGAATATGTTAAATTTTTATTGCCTTTAATACACACCTCATACTTACAGATCCTGTTAGCAAATTTCCTTGCCCAAACAGAGGCTCTGATGAGAGGCAAAACCACTGAAGAGGCCAGGAAGGAGCTGGAGGCCAGTGGACTCGGTGGAGAGGATTTGGAAAAGATCTTACCACATAAAGTTAGTAAAAGATCCTTATGATTTAGGATTTTGTAAGTAACATAATTAATAGCAAAGGGTAAGCAGGTAGATCTGACCATAAAACTAGTCAGGAGAACTGTAGAGTAAAACGAGTGAAACATCTAGATAACCTTTCCTTGCCTCTTGATAATCCTCAGCATGTAAAATGATTTTGCAGTGTTGGGCTGAAATATTATGCATCAAACACCAAGTTAGATCTTCCTTACGGATTAAAATGATCATGATTTACTTTTTACGAAGGTATTCCAAGGAAACCGACCAACAAATTCAATCATTTTCAAAAAACTCACTCCGTACACCCTAGGAGCACTTATAGGTAAGCACCAGCCCCTATAAACAATCACAACTGAACCAACATTTTGAAGTTTACAAGTCAAAAATATGTGGAAACCTACTGTGTTGCAGCACTGTATGAGCACAAGATCTTTGTCCAGGGTGTAATGTGGGAGATTAACAGTTTTGACCAGTGGGGGTAAGTTAAAATCATACAGTATATTTAGTTTTTAGCCTGCACAGAACTTAACTTAATCGTTTTCCATTTCAACATTCTGTTTGAACTTTTTAGTGTGGAATTAGGTAAACAACTGGCTAAGAAGATTGAACCTGAATTGCAGGACTCTAAAGAGGTCCATTCTCACGACTCTTCCACCAATGGACTCATCAACTTCCTCAAGAAAAACTTAGCATAAGCCTCTAAAATGTTTCCAACAATATTTTCAGCTCCACAAAAAGGCAGCTGCTCCATTTTACACAGTTTGCAACCACATTGGCTTGCATTTTAAATGTCTTTGTTTGTTGGTTTTCACTTTGAATAACAGAGAAAATAGAAATTTCTGGGTCTACAAGTTTTATGCACAATGCAGTGACTAAACAGTCAGTGCATTCTGTCACTAGAGGGCACAAGAAAGCCAGATTGCACCATCACCAAGCACACTGTAACACATTTATCTAATGGAACAAATGGACAAAGGTCAAAACTGTGCTCTGTTGCTCCCCTCAAATCCCCTGACTCAAAGACATCCATTTAGAGAAAAAAAAAACATCTGGTTTGCAAAGCTGAACCAATCTGTCCAAACACTAAAACCTCTTTTTCTAGCAGCACGTCTCTATGTGGTGTATTTCCCTGCATAAATGCTCTCTTCTATAAAATCTGGAGTTTAATTTGTTAAAGTAACTGTAGCAATTTTCATTCATTTTGGCAACATAGTGTCTGCAAACTTCTTCACAGAGTACAATTGTAGAGATTTTATAAACTCAAAGTGAAACTTAGATGACCCTCTGCATGGTTTTCATTTTTGGTTGCCAGGCAACTATATTTTACTGCAAACTGAACTTGTCCATGTTATTTCTTGTTCTTGATGGCCATGATGCAGAATACAGTGATCTTAAATGTACTGAAAGGACTTTATGCTGGCATAGGAATGTCAGATCTTTGGTGACACAAAAGAAAAAGTTAAGACAAATTTTGGGTAGCAATAAAAGGGTATTTTTCTTTAAAAACTATCTCAAACTGCAATAAGAAAGCATGAAATAGGTCCTGTGAGTTTTCTGAATAATGGTCACATTCCACTACATGCTTTACTGGTTGAACTTCTCATTCATTTTTGTCCTTTCTTTGGTCCGTTCAAGTCTGACCCTGTCAAAAGTAGGGTCCAGAATTGGCCTTGTGCAGTGGTTGCCATAGCAATGTCACCCCCTGCTGCAGTGACTATGCCGTCCCAAGTTCATGGTGGTGTCACACTGAACTGGTATTGGGCCTCTTGCACTGAGTTTGCCACGTACTCAAACCAGTGCTCATCACTTTAGAGTAAAATAAATTAAATCACTCCATATGCACAATTAGATGATGTAAGTTTGCTTATCCCTGTGCCATCTCGTGTAACATAACTGTTCTACTGGAGGAGATAAAACAGAACAATTCATCTATGAAAATAGCAAGTCAATTTTTTCCCATGGCCACTGGATTTATTTAAAGATTAAAGTACATAGGCAGAACATCCAGCCCATCACAGCCTCTGGGGGCTGCAAAGGGATCTGGATGTCCTGATTCTGTGTTAGGCTGCATGCCTCTCCTCATCCTTTCACATTTACATTTGAAACCCTTTGGGTTGCAGGTTACTATTTGCCCTTTCTTAGTACATCTGACCTGACATTCAGAGTCAGACATTCATCACAAACATTACATGCAATACTAAGGCTGGAGTCACCTTATTATAGAAGGGCAGGAGCACAGGCATTTAATTTAATTTGTTTCATTTGAAGTACCCATCTTGTATAACACAAAATGGTTTCAAAGTAATCTATGTTGTGTTGGGAAATGACAGAAGAACTCATTCAACATCCCCTGAACATCCCAGAGTAACTGAAAGAGGAAAAACAAATGTATTCTCAGTCTCCACCATTGTTTTATGAAAAGACCCAATGCATAATTCACTCTGCCTGGAGTTCATAGAAGATCAGTTTGGTTAAAAATATTGCAATGTGTTTACACAACATGTAAATCCATATGTCTTTTTTTTAACAAAAGTAAAAATTAATTGGTGAATTTATAATCTAAAGGAACTATGCTAGATTTTTATTTTTTTATAAACTTGACCTGTGTCCCCAGACATGAGGTACTTTCAATTGGTTTGCTGGTTGCAATGCTGAAAATGATTTACATTAAATTTAAATCTAAAATGATTCTCTCTATCTGAATTCTTACCTTAACTCAAGTAATTACAGCCAATGAGTGCTAGAGCGTCTCTAAACTGTCACATAAGGCATGAACTGTCCATAAAACTGGCATCCCAAATTCAGTAGTATTGTAGTACCTTTGTTAAAACAGTAAGAGCACAGGCTACATACAGTTCCTTTTACATACTTTTGTTGGCATTGCTATGGGTTTTAAACATTAAACATTTAATATATTGGTATTAATAGTAAAACATCTTCTAATACATTTGGACTCCTGTGTTCTACAGAACAGAGTTGTGGAATACAATGTCTCTCATCATTTACACAAATGCATGAAAGAATGAATCCAGGATAGGGCACATTAATGAAAGGAAGCATTGGTAACCACAGATTAAGCATGAGGTAATCCTGCAGCAAATATATTTTCACTAACTTCCTGGCAATGGTGGAATCGGTGTGCTTTGGAGGGAAGGTGCTCTTTTGTGCTGTGTAACAGAGCTCACCTCCCAGCCAGTCCCCCCGGCTCCTCTGCCTCTCCGGCTCGCTGTGTCATTGGGTGGAACCTCGCTAACATAAAGGCAGCTTTGTGCCCCAACTCACCAAGCTGTCAGCCTACACCAGAGATCAGCTCCACACACTGAATACCACTGTTTAGCTCACAGCAGAACTTCACAGATTATTCTTCAACACACTGCACCGTACATCTCCAGTCTCAACCTCCACTTTATATAGACTTTATAGACTGTTATAGATTCAGTTACTTATGTAATTTTCCTTGAAGGTGAGGCAAAAAGTTCCACAGGGCTTGGAACCATTGTTTTATGTTGGAGCATACTGTCAAAGTATGTACGCTGACAATGCCAATATAACATTTTTTTTTAAGGTAATGTAATCTAATTTCAATTTAACAAGGCACTAACATTTCAGGACATATACAGCATTAACATCAGTCATTCCTGAAATTGATTTGTACTATGCATCAATTTTTCTTTTGAGCAGTTCCATGTCTTCTTAAAACATTATTCATGAAGCATTAAAGTGCTGCCCGTTCTACATGAATGTCCAGTCATATGTGCTTATGTTAGTTTTCTACTTAAGACCACTACTGTGCAAGTCTGTTGGTAGCAAAAGTTAAAAAAAAAGACATGTTTTTTTGCAGTTAGCTAGAAAACCACTTTATTGAAAAAGCAGATTATGACATCTATAGTTAAATGATACATCCCAGTTTTAATACATTAAATAACTTTTCATGTTTAGATAAATAGATCTAGGTTCCTTTTTATGAACCACCTAGTTATAGGCAAAATACAGCTATACAAAATATATGACCATTATGGATGATAGAGGAAGCAGTACTCTTCTTTCCAAATAATTTCCACCAGAAAATAAAGTAATCCTTTCATGTATGGGGCAATTAGCAGTGTGCTCTAGTAAAAGTACATAAAATGTGACATAATAAAACTACAGGGGATACACTCTGGTCCCTGTTTTTTGTTCAAAAAAGCCAGTGTAATCTTTCAGGCAGCACACATCAGAAGAGCCCTAGTACATAGTAAAATGGCTGTTTTGGAGATTAAAACACATTATAATAAATAAAAACAACAGAAACCTGCAGTGTAATCTTTTAAATTAAGGTATAATGTGATATGTCAGCACTTTTTACAGCCCATTAATGGTTTGTGCGATATTTGAACCTCAACCCTCAAAACATTTAATGACAGGTTATAGCACATTTCTGACAGACTGCCATGAAATTGGGGGTGAGTATACGAATTTTTGTCAATATTGCCAACCCTAGATGAGGGGAACGTCTCACCTTTTCCATGTTACTTTACAAATACATGTCACAAGAGATAAACACTATTATTACATTCGAAAAGTTTTTGCAACATAAATGACAGTACTTTCATATAGCCTGTTTCAGTCTAATTATTTTACACAATCAGTAGTATTATTGAGACATAAGACAAAATAGAGGTTTGTGAATGATTATCATTTAACAATTATGTAGCACCAGATAACATTTTAAAATATGTATGATGCATATGAGTTCAATGGAATGCAGCAAAATGCTGCATTTTAGTAGATAATAGTAGACATGTTGGGGTCAATTCACTGGAAGCAGAGCTGCCCACTGAACACAGTGAGTGCTTGTACCATGGTCCTGCCACACTCACAAGCATACACATTCAGATATTTTACATTACACATATCTGGGATCAAGAGGTCAGCATATTACGAGACAAATTATGATGAATGTACTTTTAACCTTATTATAACAGTGTTCCCTCATCATGAACTTACTCATAATGAATTGTATCTTGAATGATTCAAGCTTGTTTAAGTAATCCTGTATTGTCCTACATTTGATGCATGAGTGCTCAGAAAATGTCTTCTCTCACTTACTGCCTATCTCACTGCTGAAAATAACAAAAAAACAAACAGACCCCATGTCATACATTTTCTATAATAAAAACACATGGAAATCTGCTGCTGCTGCTGCTACGGTGAAATTCCACTATGATGACGTGGAGCCTATTATTCTGCAGTGGACCTGACAGGAAGTCAGTGGACCTGCTTCTGTTATGAAGCTGTTTTCAATATTGAGGTTTACAATGAACAAAATTGTAAAATCATAATCTATATATTTTATAGTTTAACAATAAACATGTCTTCTTTAAGAGTGCTTTTCTGCTATTCAAAAGTTTCCTTCAAACATGTCTTTAAGGAGAATCTTGTATTACCAGTCACAGCCCTTCAAAAAATGTGATTATTTTTTTTCAATCACCATTACCACTCAAAGTTTCAAGTTTTGTTTTTTTTTGTTTTTTTTTTAACTCTTGTGTAGTTTTTCTTGCATATTAACACATACACTCATAAACAAAACAGCATACATCCTATGCATACACTCACACAACAACCAACAGATAATAAGTAGGACTGACTGGAAATGTGGGTGGAACCAGCCACTACCTTGTGTCCCAGAGCAGCAAATAAAACCAATGGCTGATTGGAGCCAGACAAAGACAGACCTCTTAAGACATTGTGGCTACTCATTTATACCAATGCTTGCTCGGTGGAAAATCAGTATGAAAATGTGCACGAAGCAGATCTATCCAATGCTGGATAGCCAATAACAGAAAATAATGCATTGTTGTAGTATTCTCAGTTTGTTCTTACAATTAACTTAAGCTAAAAATGTTGGCATTGCACTGACAGGCCTCTATCTCACTGAATATCAGACAAACTAAAATAGTATGTGTCCTGAAGGGACCCCAGTAGACCCCAGTACCACATGATACATATCATTTATAAGATCTTTTCGAGAAGGAAACAAAAGGATCAAAGTCTGTATGTGGAAACATCTGCAAATATATAGTTTATATATTTTTATATAAAAAGACAATCTATGTGCTTCTAGGCTTTTCTTTTTTTAATAATATTATTAAGACACAGCATGTGAATCTCTCAAGTCTCTTAAGGAATGTCAGTCGGTTGTCAGCTTTGTGGCAGTGCGACTTGTGCTACTGTTATTGGGCGTAAGAGCATTATGCTAGCAGTTCACGGTGCTGTTAAAGAGAGCCAGCTCTAAAGGCACAGCATGGTCACCCTGGGCCTGTCTGGTCCATACAGCTTTTACACAACACTGTTGGGACTGTGGCATAAGGAAAAGAAGCATGGTCTGCAATTTCTTCTCTGACTCAAAAGCATCCACTTTGAAGACTGAGGGTCAGGAGCCTTGACGTCATCATGGGCCTTTGGGTGAGTCCACAGTGCTTTAGAGGGATCACACTCCCCATGGAGGAATCAGGACCCTTTTCCCTGTCCCATCATGTGACAGCTGTGGTAAGGCCATCTAGTCAGAAACTACACAGACTTTAACTAAAAATCTTGTATGTGTAGCAGGGTGGAGTTGTTCCTCACAGTTCTGTGACATGGAGCGGGTAGCTGCTGGGAGGAGGAGAGCTCGGGACCTGGGACTGCAGCTTCTGGATGTGGCAGCTGTGACACAGGAGGTGGCCCTCCAGAGGATAACAGCGGTGGCCCTCCTCATCATTTAGTGGCAGTCCACAGTCCTAAAATTATACAATAATGATAGTAAGAGTCAACAATTCAACTAATTCCTTTAAATTATTATTCATATTATTCTTATTATAACAACAACAATAACAAAAACTATATTTACTTGTCCTTAAGGAAATTTTCTCCTGGTTTTATAGTCTAGACCAACTGCAAACAATTTAAACTTCTAGGTTCATTAATTAGGTTTGGACTTTGGCCTTTGTCTGTCCACCAGTGAACCACTCTTCAGAGGTCCACATAATGATTACCCAGTGCTTACATAATGGCCTTATTTGTTTAAACAAGTAAATGATATTGCAGGAAAAGCACTTGCCTTTACCAAGACTAGTCTTTATTTTTTTCTTAATGTTTCCCCACATACTTTGGGAACTCTGTATACATTCGTCTTATACATTCCAGACGCATTACAACTTTGTGTTAGCAGTCTTCATGAATTGTATTTTGAGACCTATGACAATTATGGCAACACATCTGCATAAAAAAATGTATTTACTTTCACAATGATATAGAATTTTAATTAATTTCTTCATAGTCAGTCATATGCTTTGTTAGGTATTTAAGTATAGCATAAGTATATTGACATTTTGTCCGTTGTAAAAAAAATTGCTGATCTAAAACGGTTTAAAAATATAATAGAAACTGATGCATTTACTTCCAGTTAAAACAAACTGCAGAAGTGATGGGCTTCCCCTCTTCATAGTGACATTTCACTGGTAAACAGCAAATTGTCACTTACTTTTTTATTTATTGTTGCAAAAATGTCTACATTTTTTAAACATGTATGAGCCGGAGACTGAATTTTAAAAAACAATTCAGATTGAAAAGCAGGGAATGGATTAAAAATCAATCAACTGAAATACAATTCAAGTTCATGATAACAAAGCTCATAAAGCTCATAATGTGTAAAATTGTGTTCTGAAGCAGCAACATACATATTTGTTATTAGTTACATCGTTATTTTGAAATGATTGTAGAAATGAGAATATGGTTAGGCTGGTGTTTGGGTGTACCGTGATCCAGTTTAACTTACATTTTCATAATGTCATAAGATTTGATCAATCTCTAATCAGCAATAATGTGCTGGGTCTCTTCAACTGAATGGTCTACAGCCATTTTTCTGTCAGTAAAAGTATGTGGTCTTGAGCAGAGTTCAGATTTTTAATTCATATTGATAGACGTTTTTACACTACAAAATAAAATTTGATTGAAAATGATGACTGGCCAATACAGGGAAACAGCTGGTTTAATTTGTCATCTCACCTAAGTCCATGCAAAGACCTCAAAACATGCCAGGAAACATGCAAATATAATTATTTCATGAAAAAGATTTTTGTAAATGTATTCAACCCGGATAAATTCAAGCCACATCTGGGTCAAACTTAGTAAAGTTAAATACATTTCACATTCATGGACCTTTGGTAAACCAGTAATTGTGGTGAGCAAAACAAACTTGCAGCCCTGCTCTAAAGCATGATTAAATTGTTTTATATTTTATTTTATACTTTTCAGACGCATGTCATGTGTTAACACCTGCCACCTCTTTGGCTTAATTTATCTATATTCATTTGAAATCATTTTCAATAATATAGGTCTGTTATATTGGGAACATTTTCCAATACCAATATGTGAACAATCTCCCCCAAACTGTATTGTATTTGAAGAAATCTGCCCTGTGATCTTCTGTATAAAATATAGATCCTTGCAGTGTTAGTAAACAGAAGTTACAGAACACCTGTATCCTAAAGGCTGGTACTGTTTCATGAGTTGGATCATCAGAGACAAGTGATGATGCACTTTCTTCAAAGACAATAGTCCAATATAATTAGTTGCATCTGAGACAGTACTTGTGTAGATCAAATGTTGACCAGGAAGCAAAGACACCAACAACTCAATTCAACATTTAAAAATAGGGATGGACTAGCAATCTGAGCATGCTGGAAAAGTCCAGAATGGCTGTTGGCCATATTAACAGCAAAGGGTGCTAATATGATAATTTGCCCATTTATCAAGCATAAATTGCATAGGCATAAAAGCAGTCTAAGAGTGGGTTACTCCTTGGAACCTGTGATAATGTAAACTATGGGTATAAAAGAGCAATGTGTGAAACCAATGTCTCACCTCACAGTGATAGCACTCCACATGGTAGTCTCTGTCCATGGAGACCACTCGGATAGTCTCCTCAGAGCCCTGGCAAAACCACCAAACATGATACAAACATGTTACATCTGATCTGACTATGTGCTACAACTACATACAACTCAAATAAAACACTTGATAGAAAAAAGTGAACAACCTTTCACACATCAAGAGCATTAGTCATCATTCTTTTAATCTTTTCACATTAAGCTGGGATACCTGATTTTCAGACTGCAAAAGGAGGAGGGTTGTATTCACATATTTCCAAATAGATCCCACTTTTCCTTTGACAAACCATTGTACTTAAAATTATATTTGGTTAGTGTAAGTCAGAGTAAGTTCTGCTCAGCTGATTTGTTGTACAAACTAAATGATGTCACATTGTTCATCCCTGGGTGCAAGAACTAAGTTCCAGCTTTTTATGAAGTAAGAAATTGCCTTAATTAGAGGCTATGATTCACAAATGTTACCTTAGCTGGAAGAATAGGCTGGCTGCAGGAGGCACACTTGGGCGCAAAAACCCTGAGTTACAAAAAAGAAGTCATATTATACATTACTTTGGGAGTATTATCTGGTACTTCAAATTCACAATTGTGGGCCTTAGGTTAAGGACTAAGAAGTTGTACTTACGTGTGATAATCTTTGACACAGTAGATGTTATTTTCGACATCTACGGTGAATGGGACACCATCTAGACCCTCTTTACACACAACACAACGAAAACAGCCAGGGTGGTAGGACTTCCCTAATGCTTGAAGGATCTATATAACATGAATGTAATATTTTATGTGACAGTGTACGGTGATGACAAAAATTTAAGCAAGTACCCTACTGTATTGTCTATATTTACCATTTCCATGATGAGGTGACCACATACAAAGCACTTCTCAGCTGTCTGCTGGAAACCAGAGTACTGTTGGGAAAAAGCATAACAGATGTTAGATATCTTTCTAGCCCAACTATCTGCAGCACCAAAACCATAGCCATGATATGGTGAGTCTTGGAAAAGTTGCCAAAAGGTGACTAGGTGGTGTTTTTGTCATATCTAAATCTACCATCTGCAACCTCCAATCAACCCAGACATGCAGTTCTGTTCATTATAGGCTACTACAGAATTTGAAACCAAGACGACAGCACTGAAGAGTAATCCTGTAATTTTATGGCTCTCGAACTTTTCACATCAAGTACCACCTTGTTAATAAGTAGTTCAATCTGGGACCTTCTTGCTGTGAGGCTGAAGTGCTACAGCTTTGTGCCACTAAATCAGTTCATGAGTCAGATTGCTTTGGACCAGTATAGCATTGCTTTGAAAAGGATACAACCACTTCCAGAGGGCAGCACAGTTTGCTTTGGCTATGTTTGGCACCAGAACCTAGCCCCACCCACACTGTACGTCCCCTGTATAGCTTGTGACTGGAAAGTAGATGTCTGGCCTCATGATTTCTGGACTCATGCTGAAGTGTACTGTAAAACGCAATACTGTATTAAAAGATAGCAGTTGTGTAAAAGCATGGTGTGTAGTGATAATTTAATAACATGATTCTGTATTTGAAGAAACAGTGCAGTAAAAACAAATACAATACAAATGTGGTTTGGAAATAATGCCATAAAAGTGTGTGTAAAAGTCTAAATGTCAATTTTATAGACTGCTCCAACTGATAGTCACACAAACAAAACATAAAGCAAACCTACCAGAAAATCTTCCTCACAGTAGACCTTGCCATTGACATTGTAGAAAGCTTTGCCTCGCAGGCGCCGTCCTGAAACAAACATGGAGTTATTAAAAGATAAAATAAAACATGTGTTTTGATGGACACACTGCAAGCACAAACTAAACTCCTTACCCTGTAAAAAGCATAGATAGTATACACATAAAGTAGTTCAACTGGGCAGTGTTGGTGCAGTCTGATACATACTGTCCCTTGAAGTGTGTAAGATTTGGACTATGACATTTCATAAACATGACTTATGTCCAAATCAAATATAGTTTTTATGGATAACAGTTGCATTGCTGATCTACTCTTAGTTTCAAAAACATCAGACACGATCGCCCAGTGGTTTATAATTTGGCGTTTGGTGCTCACCTCATATACTGAGAATGAGAAAAAACTTGTGTCTCTGTATGTTCTCTAAGTTGTGGCACTGACAATCCAGTCTAAGCTGTGATTGTAGTACGTTTTTTACTTTTTTTTCTTTTTTATAGTAAAAAGTGGGCTAAATACTGTTATAATAAAATAAATTCTCCTTGGCTTCTAGATAACGGTCAGGCAAATTTTTACAGTTCCTTCCTTTAAATGCCTTTAAAGCAGACTTCTTGGCAGGCTCAGCAGATGGAACTCATAAATTTTATCTATTAGTCTGATTTAATTGTCATCCAAACCTAGCTGCCATTTGATTTAATGTATGTCCTGCCATGGGAAAGACAAGATCTTACCTCCTCCTCTCTTTAACACTAAAATTTATGCAATTGCTGTATTTCAGAGACAGACCTGAATGTCACTATGCTGGGAAATGGCAATACATTAACAGCCACATAAATGGCTAGAACAGTCCAGGAATGCTGCCCACACAATAGGTGAGACTTTTAAGACTTTGAGACAGAGAGGCAATTAGCATTTTGGTAGTGCAGTGTAGAGAGACAAGCACAAACTTTAGGAGAAATCTTGTGGTGGACACATTGTTCTGTGGTAGATACAAGAGGAGCCAAGCTCAAGAGAAGAGGTGAGTGCAGCAGCAGGAGAGGTGTCCTGGGCGCTCGTCTATGGCCTTTGCTCTGGACTCTGAAAGGTGAATACAATGGCCTGGGCGCTCATGACTGTGTGCAGCGCTGCTTGGGGAGTGGGCTGACTGAGCAAACGGGGACATTCTTTCTGCCTGAGGTCACTAGCTGGCCCATTCAACCCCCCACACCTCTCCTCTCCAGCACCCACTCTCTGCCCAATGTTATGGAGGGATGTAGGGAGGGAGAGAGGGTGGGACAGATTCTTTGTGTTTTTGTCAGTTCTGCCTCAGTCTGCACCTACACATGCACTGCCCTCCTTTGCCATCTCTCATTTATGTGACCTTGTCCAGCTTCAAAATCAAAAAAGTGGTTATTTTTGTGTTCAGCCTGTGTTAGTGAGATATATTTACCTTGACATGTATCAGCTGCTAGCTGCCCACCATCTTCAGTATTGTGTGAACTGAGTGCTCAATACAATGCTTTATGGAGTCGTAAGGTTATTATTTGTTGTCCCAAATAAAGACAGGTTTCCTTATTGTTAGGTCACTCCTTAGGCTGGGTCTTGATATGATCTGGTTAGAGTTTCCTGTGATGTTTCAACTGACATCGGGAAGTCATTATTCTGAAGCTCCTTAGAATTCAGAGTGATGCAAGTGCAAGTGTACAAATGGCAAGGATGGACCACTCCAAACTGTTTAAAATAAATTAGCTATTAGCTAATTAATTATTGTAGTTTTTCATGTTATCAAGTTTTCCACGTCATCAAGTACAGCCTTTAACCCTCAGGCACCTAAAACCAGTATGGCTTTTTGATTTTATTTTTCCCCATATAATGCAATAATACAGAATATTTTGTAATTCATCGTGACTTTAGACCTATACATTTGTATATACATTTCTAATTTGATCTACCAATTGTAATTGAATTCAGAACATCTGCACTTGATTTTGATGAATTGTGTATTACAAATTTAGGTTTCAAGACCACTAGAAATGCAATCTAATGCAATTCCATTAGTTTTTTTATGGAACTTAATATGTTAAAGTTTATCAAAATATGTTCTCAGGGTGATTAATAAAAATTTAACTTTAAAAAAAATTACAAAAAATTGGGTTGATTATCTATAACATTTTAAGTAGGACCCTGTGTATTAAAATAGGTATAAAGGGTTAATAAGCTCCTTGGACAGAAGTGCATTTTATTGCCATGATAGTAAACAATAAAATGCAGAGGCTGCGTCAGACTCTAGTATTTTTTTCAATTTCTCCCCACAATATAAGATGGGGGTATTGTTGTACCCCACAAATACATTTTACAGAGACAGAAATGTTATGTTTTGGGTTTTTTTTTACATGTTGAAGCAATGCCTATTTTATCAGCATCTGCCTAAATGGAAACACTGTACATTTAAAGAGTTCATATGAAGATCTGCACTTCTTGCTATAAATGTGACAAAAGGAGGAAGATGCGGTTGTACATTGTGTATAAAAGCAGTCTAATGTCAGTCTAACTGGTGCAAACTTAGAGGTAGGGTTGTGCCAAAAATCGAAAGGTTGACAGATAGCAATTTCTACTTTGGTCCATCTCTGTGATAAAGCATGTGCATATTAATCGACAGGTCACAGCCAATCATGTGGTGGTAAGAGTGCGTGGAGGAGCCGAGAAGGATTTACAGTCTTATTTGGGGAAAAAGTAGCCTGAGTCACAGCATGTCCCTTTGTTACCTCAAATGTTCAGAAGATTTAACTTAAACTACTTAAACTTAAAATTTAACTTTTGACTAAAAGTCCAGTCTCTCTCTCCCTCTGACTCCTGTGTGTGCACAGAGTCATCCAACCCCTACCCCTGCACCTTCTCTGATCCAGCTCTTCACCTTTTCTCCTCTTTCTCTCCTCTTGGTGCTTCTCATCTTTATAACCAAAGTTATGAAAAGTTTTTACTCATAAACTTTACTTAAGATCTCATTTAACACATGGACATAGGATGTGTTTCTGTTGTTAGCGGCAGTGCGCATGCATATGTTTTTATCGTTAATGGTAACGCGAATGCATTAGATTTAATATACTGTACAAACTCATTCCAGACTTTAAATGTGAATTTTTCTGTAAATAAGAAAGAATAAAGGAAGTAAGAATTAAAACCTGTAGTGATTTTGACACGTTTTTTTATTCCTGAAGTATGTCAGTCTATGTTTTAATAAGACAGAAGAAGCACATATCAAATATCCAGATCAATCAATATGAGAGGGGGAAAAAATAAAATAAAATCATGATTCGTTTTTCCCCATATTGCCAATAACAAAAGATTAGTTTGGAGTCGTGTTATATGACAACGTACACAAGCATGTACACTTGCCTGTACCACAGTTAAAATGTGTCTGTCAAGATTACTGACAAGCACCCTTGGTACACTTAAGGGAAAAGATTCAGACAGTCCTATTCTTTGTGACAGTTAAGGGCAGGCGGGCCAGTGTGGGGGTGTTTCTACAGTCCAATGAGAGCCGTACGGCTCTGTTTGAGTGGTCTGAAGCAGCCTATGAGGTACCACTCACCAAGGCGACCTAACGTGAACAAGCACCAGAAATGGTTTGCAGAAGGACTGAAGAAGGGAATGCAGGCTCAAAGCA